CTGCAGTGGGAGAGGGGAATCAGGCTAAGTACAAATGCTCACAGTGGGAGAGTATAAATGTCCCTGGCCACCTCCAAGGAGAGCTGCCATGGGAGTGCCCATGTCAGCTTGTCTTCAAGAGCTATGGGTGCAGCTTGGGAATGTGGAGTGAGGTACTGACTGCCCTGCCCCCTGCCGCCCCCTGGGTGGCTCTTGTTTTGTGTGGCAGAGCCCTCGCCTGCCTGCCCCCCAGCACCCCATGAGGATCAGGGCCTTGGGTGTGCACGGATGGGGCACCTGTGAGGGGCAGCCACTAGCACAGTCCCTTTTCTGGGCAGTGAGCCCAGGCTGACCCTCCAACCTATCTCAGAAGGCAAGAAAGCTGGGGTCTTACCGTGTCCCCTTTTGGTCCGGGATGGCCCTGGAAGGAGAAGGGAGGAGTGAGTGGCAGCCTGTTTGCCACGTAGACGCCCCCCCGCCCCCCCCACAGCTCCCCTCAACACGCTGCCAGCTTCTTTCCTGTCTCATCTGGTCACTCCATCGCTGGCGGGGCCACCCAGTCCACCAGCAAGGTCATTCCCACCTGGCCTTCTCTGGGCCTTACTAGCAACTGCCTGCTCTTCAGGGGGGCAGGGGTGGGGCTGGTCTCTGGCTGTGGGGTGTCTGGTCCTGGGGGTGAGTAGACATGACCACTGGGGGGTCTCCAGGCTGCACTGCTGCAGGGCGAGTGGCCGGCTTCCCATCCTAAGTTGGGGGGCCTTGGCTGGGGAAGGAGACTGCAATTCTGCGTGAGCTCCTTGCTGGTGCGGGGGCCGGGGCCAGGGCCTGATGGTGGCCAGCCTGTCCACTCCTCCATCCTGCTGCCTCTTGCCTTGCTCAGGCCCCTTCCAGGCACCCCAGCGTCCCCAATTCTGGGCGTGGCCAGCGTGGCCCCAGGGCCTATGCTCTGGGGAAGGTGGGGCAGGGGTGCTCATTGGGATAGCCCCTCCTCCCCCTCCACCAGCCACACCTCCAGCCAGTAATTTCCAAAATCATCTTCCGAAGAGTCAGGGTCTGGCAGGGGGACCGAGACCCAGGGTTAGTGAGCTGGACCCCCGTGGGCAGGGAGGAAGCCCCAGCCTGAGTGGGCCCACTTACCGGCTTGCCGTCCAGCCCGATGGGACCCTGAAAGCAGAAAAAGACAGTTGTAAAGACGGAGCACCCCAGGCCTCCTGCCAGGGGCCAGCCTGGCGCAGCGGGGGGGGGGGGCGTGAAGCCTCTGCTCCTGTAGAGTCGCAGGCCCAGCCCTGCTGACCCCTGGCTGGTTCTGTGACCGTGATAAGCCCAGGCCTGCTGTCCATCCTAAGAGGGGAACAAGAAGAACAGCACTTTCCCCAAAGGGAATGGGTGCTGCCTGCCAGTGGAATCCAATGGGTGACTTTGTCACTGATACCAAAGACTTCCTACCCCAAGTAGAGAGTGGACACCAGGCGTGGCTCAGCAGAGGGCCCCAGGAAAAGGGCACTGGCTGCTCCCTGGTCCTGCCTCTCAGAACCTGCCTCGGGCCCCCTGGGCAGCAGTCAAGGGCACCACAGGGCCACCGTGGTGGGCCTCCTCTCAGGGTCTCCTGTCCAGGTCCAGGGTCCTGCTGGGGTTTCCAGCTTGCGACTTCCCCCCCTGCCCTGCCGCCCCTTTGCGTAGGTATCTGCGTTCCTGTCCCTTTTCCCACTAGGAGCCAAACTCTGAGCTACTCTCCTGGCCAGTGTCTGGGAAAGGCAGCCGAGGTGGGTCCTAATGGCCAGGGTCTGGAAGGGAAAGGGCAGCATCGGGAGACCTCAGTGGACGGGTTTAACCCAGCCAGAGCCCCTGCCCCACCGGCCCCTCAGCCCCCTCACTCACCGGGAATCCAGGAAAGCCTCGCGTGCCTGGCTGGCCCTGGAAAGAACAGGAGCACATGAGGGGGGGCCAGCAGGGGAGGGCAGGCCAGCTCCCCCGGCTCAGCGGGTGCCCATCCCTGGGTGCCCGTGTGGGGCACAGTCACCACATGGGTCAGCTGCAGGGAGGACAGGGCAGAGAACAAGGGAGATGGATCTTCATAGGAAATCCATGAAGGATAGGGACGGGGAGAGGAAGACGAGGGCCCGCAGCCAGCCTAGGCCTGCTTCCCGGAGGGGGGCCCTGGACCGCTCCTCACTGCTGTGGGATGGGCCAGCGAGATAGCAGGGACTCCACCGGTGGTCCCCTCAGCTCCCAGATCAAACGCCTCCTCCGCCTGCTCTGCATTCACAGCCCTGGCCCGTGGCCACTTATCGGGGATGGCTTGAGTCTCAGCAGATGCCCTGACCTCTGGGCTGTGTGTCTTGGGCTAGAACAGGTCAGCCTGCTCGCTCTCAGCTCACCCTGGCCTGCGGGCTTCTCCCAGCATCCCCGGGATGGCCCTCCTGGAAATCCCTGCCCGTTTCCCTGGGGGTGCAGAGTGGGCTCAGAGGGCAGTCCTGCTCAGTGGTCAGAGCCCAGCGGTCTGTGGTCAAGATGCAGGACAGAAGCAGCACGAGGCTCTGAGGACACTGGGCTGGAGGCCACCAGAAGGTTGACGATCACCAGAACTAAACAACGGGAATCCCCTCCCGTCCCTTCTCAAGAGCCACCAGGGCTCCTCCTCCTCGTCCCAGGTGGTCCTCGCTCTCTGCCAGATGGACCGTGTCAGTTTCCTCTCCTGCCCCAGGCAGCCCGCTCGCTTGCCTTTCCCAGAACACACATGTCCCGCTCTCCGCTTGGGGTTGCCCTTGGCTTCGATGGTCACAGTCCTTCCCCGGAATGGGCTTTGGAGTGTGGGAGACGGAGTTCTAACCCTGCCCCACCAACCGCCGCGGTGGGACTCTGAGCAAGTGTCCGACCTCCCTGAGCCTTAGTTGCCTGTCTGTAGAACGGAGGTGACAGTAGGACCTCAGAGCCACCGAAAGACATTCCAGGATGTCTGGAAATCAAAATGGTAGCTGTGACCGACCCATGTTGGTGGAATTGACTTGAACAGAGAAGGTGCCAGAATAAAGCAAGGTTGCCTTGGAGCACAGCGTGCCTGGGTTTCAGGGCAGGTCGGTCCTAGTCAGGTGGTTCCAGAATCAACCCAGAGGGAGACCTCTCTGGATTCCTCTGCTGGGACCCTGAACTGTCCCCCCCGCTGCCTGGATCCTCCAGAGTGTCCAGAGACCTCTGCTCCGGGAACACGGAGGCCACCTGGCTGGGTGGGGTGGGGACCCCGCCACGTCAGGGTGGGCGTGAGGGTCCAGCCCGGAGCCAGCTGGGGCTCAGGGTGGACTTGTGGCAGGCCCCCGGAGGACAAGGGGGAGGAGATGCCACTTGTGTGCCAGAAGGGCCCCCGGCTTCTCTCCTCTCAAAGATAAATGATGCTAAGAATAGCCCTGGGGAGAAAGCCCGGAAACCCAGCCATGCCATCCCGAAGCCTCGCAGTGTAAACCGTTCCCCATGTGGGAGAGGCCGCAGGAAAGGTCAGGAGGAGGCGCTTCCAAGAAACCTCTTCAAGGCTCCTTCTGGCTGATGTTTACGTGGCCGGGATAATCACACGGTTTACTAATGACAGAGCCGGCCCTGGTAGCAGGACGGAGCTCTCCAGCCCAGGGCCAGGGCCAGGGCTGACCAGGCCTTTTCCAGGGATTTGGATTAGGAATGCTGTCTTCGACCAAATGGAAACTGGGACTCCACTTCCCGGAGATGTTGGGCCTGGGAAAGGCACTTAGGGAGACTTGGAACTGAATTTTAATTTATATCTTCTCAATTATATGCTAAACGGAGACATTCATTTCAATTTTTTTTTTTTTTTTGGTACCGGGGACTGAACCCAGTGCTTTGCATATGTTGAGCAATCTCTATATTGAGCCTCACCCGGAGAGCCCCCGCTCTTTTTTTTTTTTTCTTTAATTTTGAGACAGGGTCTCACTAAGTTGCCCAGACTGGACTTGAACTTGGCATCCTCCTGCCTCAGCCTCCCAAGTGGGTGCCACCATGCCAGCCATCTCATTGGCCAGCCCTTTTCAGGTCAGTGAGCTACCTGTTTGTACTCATCACATACATACATTTTTAGGTAGGATCTTGCTATGTTGCCCAGGCTGGCCTTGAACTCCTGGGTTTAAGCTGTCCTCCTGCCTCAGCCTCTTGAGTAGCTGGGATGACAGGTACAAACCACAGCACCAGGTTTTAATAGTTTTTTTTTTTAACTGGGTGGTTTACCTTTTACTCTTTGTCAAAGCTCTTTATCAAGAATATTAACTTTTTTTTTTTTTTTCTGAACTGGGGATTGAACCCAGCGGTGCTTAACCACTGAGCCGCATCCCCAGCACTTCTTTAGTTTTCACTTTGAGACAGAGTCTCACCAAGTTGCTTAGGGCCTTGCTAAGTTACCGAGGCTGGCCTTGAATTTGAGATTCTCCTGCCTCAGCCTCCCCAGCCACTGGGATCACAGTTGTGTGCCACCATACCCATAAGAATGTTAACTCCTTAGTCGTCAGATGTGTTGAAAATACTTTCTAACTTGCTTTTGTGTTGGACTTTGCTTATGGCATATTTTTCTCCATATCCCACAACATTAATGTTTACTTGTGGCTTTGGGGTTTTAAATTTTTTTTTTTTTTGTAGTTGTAGGTGGACAGAATGCCTGTATTTTATTTATTTTTACGTAGTGCTGAGGATCGAACCCAGGGCCTCACACATGCTAGGCAAGCGCTCTGCCACCGAGCCATAGCCCCAGCCTGACTCTGGGTTTAATGCCATGTTTTGAAAGGGTCTCCCCCACTTCAGATCTATAAGACATTCACTCATGCTTTGTCCTCTCATTCTGTGGTTTACGTTTACACCTGAATATCTTATTCATTGGGAATCTGTCCTGATATGATGAGTGGGACAGGGATTCAGCTAAGCAAAACTTTTTCAGTTCACTTTTTCCCGAGCGGACTGCCAGCGGCCTCAGACGGTTTCCTGCACACCTTCCTTCTCTCCCTGCTCTGAAACCAAGCCCCTCAGGTACTGAATCCCTGCCCGTGTCCGCCTTCTGGGCTCGCCCCCCTGTCCTCTCCATTGCTCCCTGGGATCGCTCTGCTTTTATGGTATATGTTGATATCTCCTCCCGACCCCTCTCCCCACTTCCCAGAGGGTTCCTGACATTCTTACAAGCTAACTTTTTTTTCTGAATGAATCTCAATATTTTACTGGACGTCCCACCCCATAAAAACTTCACGGGGACGAGGAGTGCATTCAATGGTAGATGACAGATTTGCTGGCAGAGGAGTCTGTGCATTAGCGTCATCTCCTTCCACACCAGGAGGAGGGAAAGCGGCTTTCCCCAGGTCTCTGCCATCTCCCCCCTGATTCAAGGCTGGGGCAGAAAGGGAGCTCAGGGGGCCTCGCCTGCTGAAGGCGGACCCCTCTGCTAATGCTCCTGGTCTTTCTCCCACCTGCAACTTGTGTGGGGCAAAGCAACCCAGATGGAAAGTTCTGTCTGGCAAGAGCCTACTGGGGAGTCCCCTTCCTCTCCTATTTGATGTCCCAAAGAGGCTCAGTCCTGTATCTGCCTGGGGCTTGCCTCCAAGTCGGAGCCAAGCGACCGCCTCGTGGAGCCTGGGAACCATTGGATCCCCGATGGGGCTGGTGGGCGGGAGAGGAGCACCTGCTTGCCTGGCCTTTGCCGAAGCCTGTGGAGACAATCTCCCACGGTGGCCAATGTGAGCTATCAATGGGGGGTCGCCAAACCCCACTGGCAGGAGGTCCACAGATGGAGGAGGGGCTCTGGCACAGCACCCTGCACCCCGAGCCTCCCGCAGCCAGTGCCCGGTGCCCCTCCCCAGCCTCCTGAGGACACCCCAGACTCATGCCCCCTGGCAAGTCCTGCTCCTGGGAAGGAAGCACATGGCCGGACGCTGCCTCTCAGGTCAGCAGCGTGAGCCCCCGGGTGCCTGCTTCCCCTCACGTCTCCTTGACCATCACAACACTCCTCAAGTCCACCTCTGAAATGTCCCTTTGGTCCACCCCTCCAGGGCCACGGGCTCGGCTCCAGGCCAGGCGTTGGTGACTGTGGCGCCTTCCAGTCCCCAGACGCAGCCTCTGAACAGCTCCCTCCGGAGCAGGGAGGAGCAGGAGGAGCAGGAGGAGCAGGAGGAGCAGGGAGGGCCTGGAACTGCACGTGGGATCCTGTTCCTAGTCGGCGTCCCCCAAGCCGAGGGCTCCCCACCGCCCTAGGGACACAGCTCTCGCTCCTGAACGTTATGTGGGGCTCCTTGTGACGAGGCCCTGCTGGCCTCCCCTGGGGTGTCCCCCGAAGGCCTTCTCTCTCCTCAGGCTCCGGGTGCTTCTCCAGGTGGAGGCTCGGCACCCTCCCCGCCTCCCCACCTGGGCAGCCTGCGAAGTCCTGGGGACAGGTGAGCTCCCTGTCCTCCCAGAAGCCTCCCTTGTCCCCCCAGCCCAGGCCCAGGGCCCCCTCCATGTGCCCCCTGTTCCCTGACCGTTCCCTTAGCACTGCCTGTCGGAAAGCAGTGGGCTCTCACGGCACCGAGGGCCTGGAAGGGGCACATCCCATTGTCCCCCTGGCACCTAGATCCTAACAGAGCAGCTCAGCTGGGGGTGCGTGGGGCAGCTACCTGTGGACAAGAGAAGTTCAGGTTCCCCTCGGCCTCTGAAGAGCAGCTGCGGAGCTCAGGAGCCCTGTGAGATGGGGGTGTCCCCTGCCAGGCAGCTCAGGGTCCGGCTCCATGGTCACGGGCTCTCGGAGCCACATGCCCAGGCGCTGCCCCAGCCACTTGCCTGACTGGAACGAGAATGACCCTTCTCTGAAGAGCTCGGCTGGCCCCCCTTTGCTTAGCCGTTTATCAAGCTCCAGGAGAGCAGGCAGGCAGCCCCGAGGGCAGCGGGCTGCTTCTGATCAGCAGCATTCATTCCGGGCCCTTCCTGGCTGAGCGGAGAGCCACATGTTCCCATCACTCCCGGCTGCCGCCTTGGACTTGCCCCTTGACCTCTGTCCTAATGACCAGCAGACCCTCTGCCTCCCCTTCCCCGCTCTCCCCAGCCCAGGACAGCAGCAGGAGCTAGGAGGGCGGCCCCTGGGCTGGGGTGGCCAAGCCATCCTGGTCACGGTCACCCACATGGGCCTGAGTTGAATGAAGGACCCTGGGCTTGGCCAGGACTCCTGGGGCCAGAAAACCTTTCCCAGCGCCAACTTGGGTGCCCACAGGAACAACGGTTTCTCCTGAAGGTGAAGGTCCTGTACGTACATTAGCGCCTCAGGACAGAAGGGGCACTTGGGGGAAGCGCAGCGTGGGAGTGAGGCCGGCCTGGCCAGACCCTGGCTCCAGCCCTCGCAGGCGAGCACGCCTGGGTGAGTGTGCCAGAGACCTGAAGGAGAACCCGTGTGTGACCGGTGCCCAGGAGACGGACATCACCACTGTCATCCTCGCAGAAGGCGCTTCTCACCACGGATTCAACCCCCGCGAGGTGGTTTATTCCCCAGGGGCCTCCTGCCTGCTGGGCCCAGCTACAGACAGCACAGGGCACGTGCTGCAGAAGGGCAGCCCCGGCAGAGACTTTAAGGGAGCTGTCATGTTTGCTGAACGGGCATCAGAGGATCTACCTAAGCCACGCAGCAGAACCTGTGTGGTCACCACAGGAGGTAGGCAGGGTGGGCCTGTTCTGTGTTATTCCCCTGCCCCACCGTCAGGCCCACCCCAGGCTCCATCTCCATGCCAGAACCAGGGGACTGTCTTTCTCTGTGACCCTCCTATCACATAGCTGGGCTCCAGGCATCTGCACTGTGGCTCTCCCGGGACATAAGGAGGCACATCAGAGCAGCAGCCACGTGAGCCAGGAGTGACGGTGACACAGCCGTCTGACCAGGCCATTACAATAGCAGGTTTAGTGCACTCACTTAGGAGTCACACTGACATGGCTGGCTGATCACTCCCAGTGTGGCCACTGTCTAGCCGTGTGACTTTATGTAAGTCACTCAGCCTCTCTGTGCCCTGGTTTTCTTATCTGTAAAGTGGAGGTAAAAGCAGTTCTTACCTCTTGAGGTTCTCGTGGGAGGATTAAGTGAGTTAATAGGTGTGGAAGTCTCAGGATACTAACTGCCACAGACTGGTGTCTGTCCTCACCATTATTGTGCAGACGGAGTCCAGAAGAAAGCTTGTTGATAAGGACAAGTCCCTCATTCAGGTCTATTCAAATGCTGCCCCGGCCCAGGACCCTGCTCATCCTTCTGCTCCTGCTCTTCCCCCTGGGGTCTCCAGCAGCTCTGACTGGCTCTGCCTCTCAGCCCCCAGACTTAGCATGTCTCATCCTGGGTCTTCAAGCTCCTGGCGGCTCCTCCCTTGGTCGCAACCTGGCGCCTTGTTTCCTGACCCTTCTCCCCCACCCGAGGTGGGGGGCTCCTGCTCTGCTCTTTGTTGAAGGCAGGACCACGGGCGGGCAGGGCTTCACCCTCCACTGGTTGTTCCTGACCCCCTCTCTGTGCGCAGGAGGTCAGGAAGACAGGGCGTGTGACCCGAGTCTGCTGCTGCCTGAAAGCCTGGGACCCAAGCCCCTTCCCTTCCCTGGCCCTCACTGTCCCCTTTTGAGAGGACTGTGCTAAACACATCTGGGGACCCGTGACCCCACGACGACATCCATGACAAGTTGGTGTTTTTCTCGCAGCCCCGTGGGTGGGTGCTCGCACGTGCCTGTCACAGTCCCCAAGGAAGCACGTCCCAGGGAAGCCACACTGGTTTTCCCCAGCTCTGCAGAGTCACGGCTAAGGGACATGCAGGAGCCAGTGCTGCTGGGGAAAGGCGCCTTGGAGGGCGAGTGGTGGGCGAGGGCCCTCCAAGACCAGGAGCGCGAGCTGGTCCACGACCTTGAACTTGGCTTTTGGAAACACAGCAGTCTTGTTCCCGGGAGGCGGGCGCACCCACCCAGGGAGCTGCACTTTCCCTTCTGCTTGTAAACAGAGGGGCCGCCTCACAGCTGCCGGGGGCTTGTGGCTAAAGGCCCGGCCTCCCAGCCCTCTCCGAGCCTGTCATTGAGGTACATTTAGTGAGGTCACTTTCTTTAACATCAACAGCAGTTCTGTGGCCAGCAGGACTGACCGCATCCCATGTGGTTGACGCGCCCAGGGACACGGCCAAGCCTCGCCTTCCCCTGGCCCCCCTCCAAGCCCTTTCCACTACCCTCCCCACCCTCCATGCCCCCCCAAAGAGCGACAACTTACTGGGGGGCCGCGGGGACCGATGATGGACATCCCGGAGTCTCCAGGGGCACCCTGTGGGGAAGGAGGAGGGGAGAGGGAGCGTGGGGCGGGGGCAGAGGAGAGGGCGGAGGAGACTAAAGGGGGTGCTGGCAGGTGGGGCGGGGAGGGACCCCACGGGCCAGGGCCAGAAGGAGGCCAGGGTGTAGAGGACAAGGGAATGGGTGGGGGAGGCCAGAGTGTAGAGGACAGGGAATTGGGGAGCACAAAGTGGGTGAGCGGTATGTCCCGGATGAGTTGAGAAGAGCAGCAGGAAGCAGCAGAAAAGCCATGTGGGGAAGAACGTGAGGTGTGGGGGACAGAGGGAGGGGACAGACAGTGACAGGGAAGGGGCAGGCTCAGCCAAGGCTGTCCAGGCCCCCAGGCTTTACCAAGTTCCAGAGCCCCCAGGTCTTCCTCCCTGTCCATCCCCAAACACCTGTCTGGCTGCAGACCTTGCAACTGGTGGACGGAGACCGTCCCTGAGCATGGGTTTGTGGGACGGGGGATGGGGACACAGACACACAGTGTGGGCCCACAGCCTGGGACTGACAGGTGGAGGTGGCCTGGAGTTTCTAGGTCTGGTTGGAGGCCACCCTGGGGCACAACCTTTAGCTCTGCAGGACGGAGGGTGCTGGGTTAGGAGCGCCAAGCGCTGACAGGGGTGGCTGAGCGTGAGGGGAGATGCTGAGGGCACGGGCAGCCCTTCAGGGGAGGGGCAGAAATGCTTTTTGTCCAATGTCTCGTCTCCCGCACAATGAGGATGACTTCAGATTCGCTGGTGTTTTTGCCATGACAATGACACTGTGAGTTCTACAGGACGTAGTGGAGCACAGTGGTAAAAGCCAGAATGCTTGGGTTTGAAGGCCCGCTGTGCTCCTGACCCCAGCTGGGGGACCTGGGGTGAGCTGGTTTGCAGCAGGAGTGACAGCACCGTCCCACTGGGTGCAGGTGAAAACGTCACAGCCTGATGCTGCAGGGTGCTCAGCACATCCGGGCCTGGGCCTTTCTCCTGGGGGTTCCACCCCCGGCCGGGGTGTGACCCACCATCTCCTGCCTTTGGAGGACTGCACGGCCTGGAGACAGGCATGCTGGGTTCCTCTCCAGCTCTGACACCTTCCAGCTGGGTGATTTGGGTGTGTGACTTTGCCTCCCTGTCCCCAGGAACACAGGAATATGAAACTTCCCTGGAAGGGTTACGTCAGTGACAGACATACTTAAAACAGGGCCTGACAGGACTCATGCTGCATACGTGATGCTGCTGTTATTATTATTGCCATTGTTGTTATTTTGGGAGACTCTGCTGGGGAAATACGTCCTGTGCCATCCTGGGAGTGCTGAGCTAGGCGCCCGGAGGTTTGGCTTCTAGATCCTGCTCCTCACTATTGCTGTGGGACCTTGGGCAGTCCCCGCCCTTCTCTGGGCTTCGGTGTCCTCCTGTCACGTGAGCTGCTTGGATAGCTTGTGTTCTGCAGTCTCTCAAGAGCTCACCAGGGCCGGGCTGCTGGGCTCTGGCTTCCCAGGGGCTCCTCTCTAGGTTCCGGGGCCCCCTGGGCATTTCCAGCCACTCAACAGCAATGAGCTGGCCTCCTTGCCTAGGGGAAGGGTGACAACCTGGCAGGGACCCAGAGCCATGAGGCCCCATGGAGTCACGAAGGCAGGGCAGGGGAGACCCACTCCTCCAGGAGGGCTGGGGGGCGGCCCAGGAACCCCAAGGCTCAGGCTTGAGGGTGTGGAAGCTGTCAGGAAGCTGGCCGTTGGGACAGGCCTGTCGCATGCTCTGCCCGCCCGGGCGTGGCAGGGGAGGCTGGGATGGAGGTGCTGCGGGGGACTCCTTCCCGGCCACCAAGAGTCTTGCTGGAACCAGGAGGCTGGGTGGGTGGGGCGGACGGGGAAAGTGTGGACTCACCTTCTCGCCCGGTTGGCCCTTCACTCCCTGGGACAGCCACAGGTGACACAGGATGCAGGGAAGAGGGGGAGGGAGAGAAAAAGCCAGAGGGTGAGAGACAGGCACCGACCAAGAATGCAAGTCCACAGCACAGCAAGCAAATGGAGGAAATCACCGTGAAATAGAAAACAGCAAAACACAGATGCTGACACGCGACAGATCCCCCGGCCAAGAAGCAACGCATGTGGAAGCTCGGCCTCGCCCTGCTCCAGGCCTGGCCGGCTGCTCCAACCACCCGGGAACGGTGGCTGGGGCTGCAGGAGGCCCTCTCCAGGGATGTGCATGAGTGTGTGTGCGTGTGTGCGCACTTGTGCGCATGAGAGAGAGAACTCAAGACCCATGTAGGTCAGTAGGAGGGTCCAAGAAGCCATGACCCAGCTGGCTAAGTCCATGGGAGGGGGAGGTGAGGCTGTGGTGGACTCTAGGAGCTTTGAAGGCCCCGCTGGGGACCAAGTACAAAACTCTGCCAGGCTCGACAAGCCCAGAGCCCTTAGGGTTGCCCAGGCCAGGGGTGGGGGGAGGCAGAGGGACATGGATGGATGCATATATCTGCACACCTGGAGGGCAGGTCAGCATGCAGAGAAAGCTGGGTGGAGGGCCAAGGGTCCCCTGGAACGTGGTGCCTGGTGGATGGCTAGTCCCATCCACCCTCCTCCCAGTGAGCCAACGGTGCCCCCTCTGGTGACACATGGTAATGGCCCAGGAATTTCACAAGCTGTTCTTATCAGGAGGCTGCTGCCAGGACCCCTAGCGGGCAGCCAAATGGGCCCATTGCCACATTTAAAATAGCAAAGGCAGTGTGAAGCCCCAAAGTGTCTTGAAAGTAGCCTTGGCCAGAAGGAAGTGGGAGACCTCCTGTGGCTCCCCACCTCTCCCCACTGCTGTGGGTCAAGATAGACTCAGAGGGGCACTTCCTGGGGGGAGGGTGGGCAGATGGCAACAAGGCTCAAGGAGGAAGGCAGGAAGGGTGGGGGCAGGAGGCAGGGGGTGCCACTTTGTGTTTCGCAGCCTCCCCTCCAGGCCAGCCCCTGCCCGTGGGGAGAGCCCCTACCCAGCAAGCCCAGGAGAGGATGCAGGGTACTGTTTCCTGCTCTGTTCAGGGCCCAGGGGCTGCTTGGGTGTTCTGGTGTGGACTAAGTGGGAGAGCTTCGAGGGGGCCCTGCATTGCCAGGATCAGGAGCACAAGTTTGGAGTCTGGCTGTCCGGGTTCAAGTCCCTGCTCGGCCACTTCCCGACTGGGTGACCTTGAGAAAGACATTGTACTTCTAGGCCTCAGTTTTCTCGTCTGAAAAACGGGGTTGGAAGTGATGGCGACCTCCTGCAGTTCTCGTGAGGACTGAGTGAGCTCATAATGCGTGTGAAGCCCTGGCACAGGGCCCAGCATGGAGTCAGCGCTGGCAGGGGCTAGCTGGGCCATCTCCCATGCTCACACCAGGCATGCATGCAAATCCACACAAGGATGCCACAGCCATGCCCCAGGCCATCCCAGCCCAGGAGGTGAGGTTCAGAGGCCAAGCCAGGAACGGCATGGGGGGAGGGGGAGGGGGATGGCGGGGGAGGGGAGGTGCCCGGGGAGCCAGGCTGGAGGTGGAGGCCAGGGCTGGGGGAAGTCAGGGATCAGGGGGGCGCCACCTTGGCCATGTCCTGGACCAGGCCGTGTGGCGGTGAGGCTGGTGTGTGGCCACTGCCTCCTCGGGCTGCAGCCTTTCTGGCCCCCTGGAGACCAGCATGGTGAGGCTGCCAGGAAAAAACCCGGGTGCCAGGACCTCGGGGCCTGGTGCCAGCCTTTCCATTTCTGGACAACACTCTCCCTTTTATCCATTCTCATCTCCTTTTCTGTCTTCATTTCTCAGCGGGAGACACTAAGTATTTTCACGCCCTGGTGGGGACCTGGAGGCACTGCCTGGCAGCAGGCCCTGGCTTCCCTGTCTTTGAGTCTCCATCTCCACAAGACGCCCTCTGGACACTGTGGGCCTATGGGGGGTGGTGGCAGGAACAGCTGTAAACCTGACGGGGAGCTGCCAGCCTCGAGGCCTCCCAATGCAGAGGCTCGGCCTCACCCCATCACCCAGGAGGTGATCTGCAAAGAGCTTTGTTGGTGCAAATTTCTTGGATTTTTTTTCTCTTGCTGTGTCAGCTTTTTGTGGGGCTCAGCTTATCCAAAGGGGACATATTCCAAGACCCCCAGTGGACACTGGAAACATTAGATTGTAACGGGTCCTGTATATACAGTTTTTTTAAAAAAATACATACATACATATACATACCTATGATAAAGTTTAACTTATGAATTAGGCACAGTAAAATATTAACAATAAATATAATAAAATAGAAAAATTACAGCAATGTTTTTTAAAGTTATGTAAATGTGGTCTCTCAAAATATATTCTTCTTATTATTATTTTAATACCGAGAATTGAACCCAGAGGTGCTTTACCACTGAGCTACATTCTCCAGTCCTTTTTATTTTTTAATATTTTTGTTTTTTTTGTGGGTACTGGGGATTGAACTCAGGGCATTACCACTGAGCCACATCTCCAGCCCTATTTTGTATTTTATTTAGAGACAGGGTCTCACTGTGTTGCTCAGTACCTCCCTTTTGCTGAGGCTGGCTTTAAATTTGTGATCCCCCTGCCTCAGCCTCCCGAGCTGCTGGGATTACAGGCGTGCGCCACCACGCCCAGCCCTTTTTATTTCTTCTATTTTGAGACAAGGTCTCACTGAATCACCCAGGCCAGTCTCAAACTTGCAATTCTCCTGCCTCAGCCTGCCAAGTTGTTGGGATTATAGGCCTATGCCATCATGCCTGGCTTCAAAATACCTTATTATGCAGAGCAATATTTTTGGACCACGGTTGACCACAGAGACTATGGATGAGGGTGAACTTCTGCAAAACCCTATTTTGAGGTCTGAAGACTGGAATACAATTTCTTCCCTTCTCTTTCCCTGTCCCTCCCTGAAGGTGCCCCTTTCTCTGGGCTTGGGGTGGGCAGCATCTTGCCATGGTTTGGAGGACAGGCCAGCATGGAGAAGCAAGCAATGGCCCCCCGAGCAGGTTCAAATGGGCCAACTCACCACACGTCCAGGCATCCCAATGGCACCTTTGTCCCCCTAATGAAGGAGGCATAAATAATCAGTTGGGGCTGGGACCCACCAGGGTGACCCACAGGCTATCTGTGCACCTGGTTTGGGGTACAGCCTGCCTGGATGGCACGGGCAGCTCCCGTGACCCAGAGGGTGAACCGCTTTCCTAGGTCTGTGAGCCAGAGTGAGGAGCAGCGCCATGCTCGACCACTCCTCCCAGTCCCTCTGCCCATGGATGGAGTCCTCCCCTTGCCTCCCCACGGCCACCTCCAGCACAGGCAGGACAGACGTGAGCCCTGTGGATTCAGCCACATCAGAAGCTTCAGATGCGCAGAGGGAGCTGCTTTGCTTCGGAGCCAGGGGTTACATCTTCTTGCTCTGGAAATCTGCTTATTAAGTTTTGTTTCTGTCTCTTTGGGTAGAAAATATTTTTTTGCCATCATGCGCATGCAGACATCATAAAGTCGGGGCGGGGCCTGGAAGGATGGGGAGTAATGAGGTGTAGAAAATAGGATCACATTTATCTGGCCGGTGGGCGGGAGAGAACTGTGTTCCGGAATGTGCAGGTGTGTTCTGGGGTGACGGTGCATCTGCTGACCCCAAGGAGGCAAAATGTCCCCAGAGACCATTGGCATCCCAAGGCATACGTGAGACACACTAGAGAATAGCAGTCAGCGGTGGAATTAGGCTCCTGATGAGCGGATGTCTTCAAGACCAGCGGAGTTCTACATTTGCTCAAGAATGCCGAGGTAGCAGTGCAAGTCATGAGCACCGACTGCTTCCTTAACCTCCCTTGGCATCAGCGGGTTGAATGGAGATTACAAGAGTCTGTTTCTGGTGGGTTGCTGGGAGGATCCTAGAAGCGACATCTCTGGGAAGCTTCCGCCTGATGCCTGGCACTTGGTCAGTGCTGGACAAATCGCATCTGCTAGTGTTCAGCCCAGCACAGCCGTGGGCAAGGGGTTGTGCTTCACGCCTTTTCCTTTCCACAGTGGCGCCAGCATCGGCAAATCTTCACGTGGGTCACTCCCAGCTCCCTTCACGGGGTAGCACAAACAGGGCTTGACCCATGGATGTGAGATCTGCTCGTCCTGCTGAGGTGGCCAGGCCAGAGCTGGCAGTTGGCTGTGACATCCCCATGGTCCACTTGCTTTGGGGCTTTGGATGATCTTTCAGGATGTGTGTTTTGGATTCTTTTTTTTTAAAACTAATGTTCTTTGCAGTCCTGGCCATAAAACGCTCAGGTTGGGGCCGGCATGGAAGGGCCAGAGCCGGGGAGCTGTGCAGCAGGCCCTGCTCTGGGTGGATCGCCCCTAAATGCTTTTTAAAGGTGGATGTTGTAAGAAAAAAAAAAAAAAGCCTGCCCACGCTCCCCTCGGTCATCTGATTTTTCCCCTCCTTGGATTTCACAGGACCGATTCACCGTCCTCTGAGGCTCCGTGGCTCTTCCTTACAGGGAGAATTTCTGTTTTCAAGGCCAAACATTCTTCCACATGCATTTCATTAAGAAAGCCAGTGCTGGGCATGGATTCTAGAAGCTGTTGGATTAGTCAAACAGCCGAAGTCTAATTTATGTCTAAAGGGGGAGTAGGAGGGACACACAGAACAGTGTGGAACCCAGTGGATGTGGCAGAGGGACAGGGCAGAGCTGTCCCACGTCCCCCTCTGTGCCCCACCTCAGTTCTCTGGCCGGCTACAGCATCTTGCCTGAGCCCTGCCCCAGCCAAGGGCCCGCAGTGTCCGTTCCCAGGACTCCTCTCCCCCATGCAGGCCTGACTCCATAGCCATGACTAGAGGACTTTTAAGGTGGGTCTCAAATGTTGAGCACGGACCACAGGGAACAGCGGTATGGAATGGGATGTGAGAATGTACGCCTCAACCAGTCCACCACTGAAGTGTGGGTGGGTGGACAATGTATTTGACCTCTCCGAGTCTCAATTTCCTCACCCCTAAAATGGGCACAATCATACCCATTGTGCTGAGCCGTTGAACAAGCCAATTCTGAAGAATGATTAGCATAGGGGGCACCTATTAAAGTTCCAGTAGGAAGTGGCTATTGGTATTATTTCTGCTTTTATCTCAAAGTTCCCATGATTCCTTGGCACAACCTCTCTAGAATTCAGAAATAAAAACAAGGGGGAAAAACCAAGTTTTTGAGTTTGCTCTTTTACCAGAGGCATGGGGGAAGGAGGGAACAGTAGTTGGTGTCAACTAGTGAGCAGGGGTCCTAGTGCGCCAGGAGCTCGCCAGCCCTCTCAGCCCTCATTACAGGACCCTCCGTAGAGATGGATTCCAGCATCGGGAGGGTCTGCTGCCGTGACCCACCTGCCTGATGCCCCAGGAGGGTCACCCAAGCCCTAGCAGCAGCTGCAGGCTCCAAGGTGGAGGGGCTGCGAGTGGCAGACAGGAGACTCCAGAGGGGCCTCTCACTCAGAGACACCGGAGGGGAGCCAGCTGCCCAGCGCGGCCAGCCTCAGGCCAAGAGAGGGCAAGGCCAGGTCGGCAGCGTGGCTCAGCTCAGGGGTGGAGCACGAGGTCCTGGGCCAGCCCCACAAAGTCAACACAGAGGTATAAACAAAGGATGCGATACTTACTGGGAGCCCGGGTCTTCCGGTGGGGCCCTGAAATAAAGGAGTGGAGAGTGAGGTCGGCGTGGGTCAGGGAATGGGAACAGCGACCAGGCAGCACTGCCGCGGCCAGCGACACCACCCGGCAGTCGCCTGCGTCGAGCTGTCCTCTTATGAACAGGGAGCTCTTACATTCAGAAAACCAGGTGCCCAGGGGCTCCGGCGTGCCCAGGCCCAGGGGTGGGAACGGGGAACAGGGAGACAAGAACATCCTTCGTCACGACTTAGGACCATTAGGATTGTGGGTCCCACGAGCACGTCTGCTCTCTGAGCCCTCTGCCTCCCTCGGGGCAATGTCCGCTGCACCACGCATGGGTGCTGGCCTTGGTCCAGGAGGAGGTGGGGGTGGGCATTGGGGGTTGGTCTTCCCTGCCCACCAAGCAGGGGAGCACCTGTCACCCACTGGGAAGCTCCTGGAGGGCCTGTCACCTCTCAGCCCATGGCTCATGGTCATGGAGGTACAGGGGGAGCACCCCCAGAGGATCCTGGGAAGCAGTGGTTCTTCCTGTGACAGCTCTGACCAGAGTCAGTCACCCATCCCACGGCAGGTCAGTGTCGGGTGGGAGGTGGGGGGGCTGGCCCTTGGCACATGGGGGCCTCAGAGGCTCCGGCCACCTGTGTTCACGGATCACAGCTCTGTTTCTGGAACACGTGGTTCACAACCCTAGCAGTTCTGCCTGGCACAACTGTGGGCACAGGAGAAGACTCCACAGAATGGATGGGAAATGCCCTGGAAAAGGGAACAGTCATGAACCTCACCATCCATCACAGTGGTTCCCTTCACAGCCACGTGCAGAGGGAGCAGTTTAAGAACCAGTTGAAACCAGGGAAGCCTGTGTGTTCACCATGGGGTGCCAACTCCCTGATGCATCCAAGAGTGTGGCTGAGAAGCTGTCCTGCTGGCTGCCTCCTGGGGTACCCGGGAGCACCTTGCAGGATTGGGGAGACTCCTGGGGCTCATGAGCAGCTGGCCCCCCCCTCTGGGGTGCAGGACAGGTGGAGGCATCTCCATAAGGCAGATGGGTAAGGAGCAGGTGCTCAGCCCACCTGAGCTCAAATCTTGGCTCTGCCACTCACTGGTGGAGTGACCTTAAGCAAGCAAGGGACCTTAAGCAGACTGGTTTCTTTGTGTTTCTGTTTCCTTGACAATGGGAGAGCACTCGTTACCTATCTTTTGGGATTAAATGAGATCTTGTGTGTGGAGCGCGGAGCTTGGGGCTGGCAGAGAGCAAGCACGAGGACACCGGGCTATTACCACTGGGTAGGAGGGAAGGGGACAGGTGGGGGAGGGGCATGGTGCTGGCCTGAGTTCCCCGGGGTACAGTGTCTCTCCTTCCAGATACCCTGCTCTTCCCAGAGACCTAAGGCAGAACGGGGGTGGGTCCGGGTGTCCCTGAGTAACTGCAGAGGTAAACGCAGGCAGCAGCAGGGGTTCTGTCCCCTGTCCCTTAGCAATGGTGCAGTGACTCTCGATGACGGGGAGACGTTGGGTGAAGGGGCAGGACTCACCCCATCCCTCTGCTCCCCCTGTTCCTGGCCTGGGGGAGCCCTGTTTCTTACAGGAATGGGCCTGAGGAGGCTTGAGCTCCTGGTCATTTGTGAATGAACGAACCTGGTGGCCCAGCCTCCAGTTGTCCAGACCCCAGGAAAGACAGCACAGGCCCCTCCTCACACCACAGCAAGGAGCTCAGGCCCTTCCCTTCTGACCAGCCCCTCCCTCGACACCACCCAGTGGGACAGGAGGTGGGGCGGAACGGACCGGCCTGTGGGGGTCCCAACCTCACGCAGAGGGTCTAATGAGGAACAAATGGATGCTTCCGTCACAGCCCCTGGTATGTACAACCGGGTCATCCAGGTGGCGGAACCCTCATGAGAACACTCAGGGGGTCCCATCTCAGGCCCAGGACCAGGAAAAGCTGTGCTTCCCAAACCACAGGCACATCCCTACTGCACTGTCCCCCAAGTCTCCCCCAAACTTCCCTCCTCTTTGCTCTGACCACCAGGGAGCTCAAAACCAAGTCTTCCTGCCTCTGCTCTCTGTTTGCTCGACTAGTTTATAAGCCGCCTCCTCAGAATGAGGGAGGATAGACACAAATGAAATAATGAATTAATAAAAAATCACAGAATAACAATCTCCTCCTTAAAATTAAAGACCTTTTGGGGAATCATCTAAGGAAGCTCTGAGTCTAGGACCAAATGAATTAACATTCTCTAAATGGAAGAAAATATATACATGTATGTAATGTTCATGTGAATATATACTCCTCACAATAGTCCGAAACCATGACGATTCCCATTTCATACATGAGGAAACTAAGGCACAGAGATATTAAAGAACTTGTCAAGTCAGAGCGAGGAGTGGCAGTGACAGGATTGGAGAGTGGGCTCCAGAGTCACTGGGCCATACAATCTGCATGCCGACCTGAGAGCACCTACACGCAGTGAGTGACAAGGGTCACGCTCACCTCACCTGGCAGCTGACATTCAGTGTTTCCCTATAGTCCTCCCTATTCCCATGGGCATCTGACTCAGGCTTTCAGTTCCCAGGATTAAGTTCCCATCTAACCCAGGGACGGCCGACGTCAGCGGAGGCTCTGGCTCAGATGGATGGGGAGTAACTGGCTACATTGATTAGCAATGTCTGCCTTGGGCAGGAGGCGGGGCTGCAACATCAAGCCATCCTCCATGGTTATGGATAGCCCTGGCGTCCACCGGAAGCTGAGTCTTCCCATCGGAGGACAAAGCCAGCCCTGAGATACACCCGGAGGGCAGTGGACAGGCATCCGGTCAGCACTCACCTCTGGCCACTAGCGTCCTTCTTTTGCAGGAAGTGGAGAGAACAGGGTTGAGGAGGTGACCGCCTCCTTGGCCAGCTTCCTGCTCCCTCCTCCTCCCGCCTTGTGGTTTGGGCAGAGGTTCAGGGCGCCTCTGGTGGGAGGAGCTACCTGACTCCCCGGCTGGCGGACAGGTGGGCCAAGACTGAAGCAGAGACCCACTTCACTGCAGACCCCAGAATGGCAGTGTCCACCCTGGCTGGGAACAACTTCCGGGTGAGGCAGGCACAAACTCTCAAAATGCTAAATTGCGATTGTGAAAAGGATCCTCCAGCCAGGCAGGGACTCAGATGATGCCCCTGGAGAGCCCCAGTGGGCTGGTCCTGGAGGAGGCTCCAGCAGGGGACAAGGAGCCCAGCGTCCAGCTCCAGCAGGTGGTCTCTGGACGTTCCCTCTGGCGGTTTATTTTAGAAGATGGATGGTCGGAATTGCAGCCTGACATCCCAACACGCTGTGATAAACCAGCCCTCCTCCTTTCAAGGAAAGACTTGATTTTCCTCTTTCCCTGGGATCTGCCAGACAGGGGATCCGACCAGACAGGATCCCCAGCCTGGGTCTGAGGGCGTTTCAGGGCATGGATGAAATATTATATAAATAACGGTCTCATTAAAAATCGGGCAGGCTGCTCTCACGGGTACAGATCACGAGGAAAACAACTCTGGAAATGACTTCTCCCAGTGATGGACGGTGACGGGGAGATTTCAGTAACCTTGGGAGAGGTCTGCTGCGGGGGCTGAAGCCTTTCAGCTCCAACCCCCCTCGGCGCCCCCAGCGCCCTCTGAGTCTCTTGTTGAGATATCAAATGCTGTTGCTCAAAGGACACGTGCTCCCGTTCCCTGGATCTATTACCTCGGGGAGACGGGAAGACGGTCTCCTTGGGCTCTTCTCGGGTTCTCTGGAAATGACCCAGATCCCCTGCCCACCCTGGGAGTGGAGCCTGGGAAGAGGCGCCACTTGGTGCCTCTAACTTATGTGTCATTTCCCCAGCTGATTGCGGACACTGCTCTCATTCAGATGGCCACCAGCTCTGCCTGCCCCAAGTGACTTGGCCAGAATGGAGCTGCCTGCTCGGGGGCGTGGACGCTGAGTGCTCCAGAGCAGCCCCCACCTGGAGCCGCCCCCGACCTGCTTTCCTCGTGGACAGAAGGAGCAGGGCGGGCTCTTCCTTCTTTCTAGTACCTGCTGCTTTTTGGTCTCCAGTTGCTTCTTTGAAGGACAAAGGAGCTGGTCTAAAGAGGGCCAAGCCAGACTTTGGGCATGAAATTAGGGCCTGGTTTGCCCCTGGGGCCGCCACTGTCTAGCCCTACAGGAGCACAGAGATGTGTGGAAAGCGAACTAGCGGCCTCCATCCCCACGGAACATTCTAGAAGGCCTCACAGAAGCACAGGAGGCCCCCGGAAGACAGCCGCCTGTGTCCCCCCTGAGACCCTGTTACCGGTAGATGACACAGACTTTCAGGTGTGCGAGAGCTGGCTGCCGAGTGAGTACTTACAGGAGGTCCTGAAAGAGAGACAGAGAGAGAAGCCGGTCAGTGCCGCTGCCCACAGGAGGTCTGTCGCCCTCCAGGAATTCTTGAGCTGGGGAGGCGTTTCCATCTGGTCTTGGGAGGTGGCATTTTCCTGGCTCACTTTTGCCACCATAATCTTTTCCCCCTTTATTTCATCTCCACGTTTTCATGCCTGGATGGGAAACGCAGAGGTCTGGGACCCAGGCTCAGTCCTGCAGGGCACCTGACGGTGGTCCCCAGGCCTCCGTTTCTCACCCCACAACATGGGCTCCCCGCGACCTGCTTGTGCTCACGGTCCAGGTTGCTTTCCACAGCGTGGGATGTGGGCACCAAGACACACTGAGAAAGGTCAAAACGACATCCAAAGAGATCCGGAATGACAGCGAGGGACACACAGTGGAAAACAAGCAGGAAGGGGCAGGGCGGGGCCGCCTCTCAGTCCTTCTCATTCAGATCCCCGCCTGATGTCTATCTGGCAGGCCTGATTTCTGTGCGGTGATGAGTCAGGCGTCCTGACCCCTCGTGGGTCTGCTGCCCGCTGCTGCTTTCCTGCCGCCCACCTCTGGGCCCCCAGCCCAGCTGTCCACGAAGGCCTCTCTTCCCCTCCTCCCTGGGTTCCCTCTGCCTCCGGCCCAGCCCTGTCTCATTATTGGCAAGAATCACAGTCAAGAGTTTTAAGGAGACAGCCAAGGGAGTGGGGGCCCCAGAGCAAAGAAGGTAGAGAATGGAAGGTGCCTTAAGATAAGGGCCCTCAGTGACTACAGACAGCCTTTTCCCAAGTGACCAGAGGCAAGCAACATGTGTAATGGAAAAGCCTGAATTCCAACTTCCAAGAAGGTTCTAGAATGGGTTAACTTACAGCAGAATGTGTGAACATAGGTGCCCTGATAAAAGTGTCCAAATAAACCATTTTAAATGGAAAAAAAAAGACAGGGCGCCTCGGGGAAGTGCGGCACAGAACGCCACCGGGTTCCCAGCCCCTGGAGACCGGGCCACATGCACTCAGCTGCTGCTCCTGAGCTGCTTTTATGCTCAGCCAATAAAGACTCCCCGCGTTTCCCTTGCTCCTCGGATTCCCAGCGCCAGTGTCCCTGTCTCGGTCTGCCAGATTCTCTGTCCTGGTCCCAGCTAGAGGAAGCAGCCTCTCTCACGTTGGCCTCTGTCAAGACGTCATGTGAAGGCGGACAAAATATTTTGAATTAAAAACAAAGCAAAAAAAAAAATGTCAAGAGGTGCAGCAACAGGGCCAGGAAGCCCTGGATACGCAGCAGCAGCAACAGCAGCAGCAGCAGCAGCAGCTTGGGACGGGAGCGGGGAGAGGGGCACATCTGGGACCTATTAGGCTGAGGGGCAGGGGAATATCACCCAGAATCTGAAAAAATACCCCCTGGGTTCAGTCTGCCAGAGGGCGGCCCAGCTGGGGAGTCCATGCCTCCCGCTGGGGGATGTGTCTCCGGCCTGAGAAGCAGCCTGTGGCAATCTCTGGATGGTTCAGCCACATGGAGGGCAGATGTTCTGCACCCGCCAGACCTGACGTGACCTGCGTTCCAGCGCAGCAAGTTCTGGGGAAGTTCCCAGTGACACTGGCCAGGGCCCTGCCTGTCATTAGCATCTCCACTGCACAGGGAGCTAACACAGGAGTGGGCACTGGGCGGGTTCCCGGAGAGCACCCCGAGGGATGGCCATTGTACTAGGGACTTCTAGGATTTCTCTATCACCCCTAGCATCAGCCCTGCACGGACTTCTAAGGTCCTCCCTAGGTGCCGGGAACAATGCTGAGTGTTTTCCATTGCGAAGCAGATTCTATTGTCCCCAGGTTGCAGATCAAGAAAGTGGGGCAAGGAAAAAGTGAGGAGCTCCCCTGGCCAAGCAGCTAGTACCTGGAGGAGCGCCCCAACCCACGGCGATGTGCCCTTCTCTACGCCTGTCACTCAAAACACAAGACAGTTGCCTCAGACCCACATCCTCCCAAACCTCTCCCTGGGACACCCGTCATGTCCCCTCTGCTCCTCTGTCCAGGCCCAACCCTCTCATCTCCTATGGTTCCTTTGTCTTATGCAAGGGAATTGCTTTGCCAGATTTTCCAGGCTACCATTGTCCCTACCTGTCATTTACAGGGACTTCAGAAAGAAGAAAAGCTGCCAGGTACTGTCACGAACACCTGTAATCCCAGCGGCTGGGGAGACTGAGGCAGAAGGATCCCGAGTTCAAAGCCAGCCTCAGCAATGGCGAGGTGCTAAGCAACTCAGTGAGACCCTTCCTCTAAATAAAATAGAAAATAGGGCTAGGGATGCGGCTCAGTGGTTGGGGGCCCCTGAGTTCAGTCCCTGGTAAGGAGAAAAGTCCCTATGTGCTGACACTGTGTCATTGGAAGGGAAAGGGACTCAAAGGGCCCCAAAAGAAAGCTTTCTCCATCTCTGAGGTTTCCCCCGTCCAGGGTGAGATGGACCATTCCATGGGTCCTTCTGGAAAGTGGTTGGGCCCTCCTTGGGAAAACCAGCCTCTGTCCTGGTCTGGCCAGCTCTCACCAACCGGGTCCGGGGTGGGGACCCCTGGATTTCAAAGCTGATACTTCATCTGGTGCTGTGGGCAGCTCCCGGCAGCTCCGAGGTGGCCAGGGAGCCAGTGGCTTTGCAAAGTCTAGCTGTGCCTTCTTCCCACTGGTTGGACTCCCATGCAGGCCATGTGGCCGGGCTCAGTCACCTGACTACTGATGGGACCATCGCTTTGGAGGGGATCAAGGGATAGAGTCACCCCGGGCGTCATCGAGGTTCCACTGTGCAGATAAGGGAAGAGAAGCCACGAAGGTTAGTGGCCTTGTGTGGCTGTGGGATGATGTCCCATGTCCCCAGCAGGGGTCACACCTAACAAAGCACGCTGTGTCCTGAGGCCTGTGGAGGGGATCCTGCCATACATCCACGCCACTGTACACCCGCTGCTGGGCATGGGAGCCTCTTCCTGGCAGCTGGGAGACTTATGAAGGTTGTCCCAGCTCTCCAGGGTGGGTCGAGTGACCTGCAGCAGGATTCTGGAGAAGGGTTCACAGCAGCCACCCACTATGGGGACTTCCCATCTGAGACCTTCTTCCCCAGGTCTGTCCCCTGCTGCCTCAGCTTCCAGGGCTTGAGCTGCCTCCTACAAGCATGGTAGCCATGTTTTCCCCCAAGTGGACACGCCAGCCAGGGCCCTGTGAGAAAGTGGGGGTGGTGATGGCATTCAGAGTGTGCCTCTATTTTAACCCCTTTGGTGTATCCATTGACTCATTCATCTCCATGGTAGGAAGGCCTACTGTGTGTCACTCACTGCGCTGGGCTACGGTCTCATAAACTGAACCATGCAAAGTCACTGCCCTTGAGGAAGGAAAGCGTCATTGTTTAAGCACCTGCTGTCTTCCAGGGAGTGAACCCAGGGGTGCTTAACCCCTGAGCCGCATCCCAGCCTCTTTTTATATTTTAATTAGAGACAGGGTCTCACAGAGTTGCTTAGGGCCTAAGTTGCTGAGGCTGGCTTTGAACTCGATCCTCCTGCCTCAGCCTCCTGAGTCCCTGGGGTCACAGGCGTGTGTCACCAGGCCTGGCTCATCACCTGCTGTTTTCTCCCAGGCTCAGTGCTGACCTCTGGGACTCCAGAGATGACGAGCTCATTTCCTCTTGCCGAGAAGTCAAGTTTCCAGAGGAGAGAAATGAACGTGAGGATTGGGGGAGAAAGTCATTCATGCATTCATCCATCCTGCCTTCCTTCACTCCACAGAGCAGGCGGGACGCTAGGTGAGGTGACTATGACATCGCATCAGCCCCTGCAGCAGCCAGGCGAGGTTGGCGCGGCTGCTCCAGCTCCACACCCAGGAGCCCGAGCCTTGAGGTTAAGCGGCCCCCGGGCGGTGCTTTCCTTAGGCAGCACCTGTTTTTCTAAATTTTTAAATTTAATTTTCAGGCTTAGTTTCCATGGGGGAGAACCTGGATTTGAACCTGTCTCTCTTACTTGGAAGCCTGTGTTCTCCCGAATGGAGGTCACAAGGTCCCCAAGGGTGGAAGGCACAGCCTGCTCAGCCCTGCCATCTCCAATCCAGTCCTGGTCCTGGGCAGGGCTGGGAGGAGGCACAAAGTGCTCCTATTCACTGTCACTCGAGCTGCGCTGTGACCCTGGCTGACGGATGGGCTCCCAGCAGCTGGGGTCCGAGCCCTGCCCCATGCCTGCCGGCACCTGCTGCCAGGCCTCCCCCAGCTGGCCCCCTGGCGCTCACTCTGCCGCGTGCACGCACCACCCATCTCCGCCAGGACAGGTGCTCTGCACCCCTGGCTTCCTCCAGACCTCGGGGAACAGACGTACTGGCCACACTCCGCCTGCCCGAGTAGGGCTTCTCAATGGAGGGCAATCTTGGCCCAGGGGACAGCTGGCAATGTCTGGAGACATTTTCGATAGTCACAACGGAAAGCTGCCCTGGTCTCTAGCGGGTAGAGGCCAGGATTGCTGCTAAACAGACGCTGTGCAGAGTCCCTGCAACAAAGATGTGTCTGGCAACAAATGTCACCAGGGCCGAGGACGAGAAGCCCGCGCTGGGCCTCCGGGGCTCCGCAGTGTGGTCCCTCCAGCTCACGCCTGCCACGCTGCTGTCCAGCCCTCAGCCTGACTGACCTGCGCTTTGCCAGCTTTTGGGACCCTATTCTTTTCCAATTTTGCCTGTTCTGCCTCCACCCAAGGCCTTGCTAGGACAAATGTCAACTCCATACTGAGCATTTAGCCTGTGCTGGCCACAGTGCCAAGTACTCTGCGTGCCTGGTCTCACTCAGTCTGCCTGACAGTCCGGTGAAGTGGCCATGATGACCGTCAGGCCCACTCTGCAGATGGGAAAGGCTGAGGCCCAGGGGCGTGTGTGCTTCGAGGTCACAGAGCTCAGACATGGCAGCTGGTGCTCCAGCTGGGTCCGAGGCCACACCGCACAAGCACCGCTGGCCCCGAGAAGCGCAGTCTCTCCACACTCGGGCCCCAGAAG